TCCAGGATTTTAAATATATATAAAAATACTTTTTGGTGGACACAGTTCTAATTCTTGGAAAAATCAGACGTTCACTTCTCCAAATGTAAGAAAAAAATCTTCCAAAGACTTTATTAATCACTAAGGAATTCTTCTTCTTCTTCTTCTTCTTCTTCTTCTTCTTCTTATTATTATTATTATTATTATTATTATTATTATTATTATTATTATTATTATACCAAGCAAATTATTCTCAACTAGGTACATAAGCCATTGAAAACTAAGCCTACATTTCTTTCAGGTGTGATGCATAAAAATGTGTTTAAGATTTACGTTATGCTTTATTTCAATGTTTTAATAATATCTAAAAATTATAATGTCGCAACGGGGAGAGAACAAAGTTAAAGTAAAATGAAAAAAAAATCTATTTTCTAAAAAGAAAAAAACTACATATATTAATACATTAGATTAACACGGAGTCAATTTCGGTATAATTACCTCTGGTTTACCTGTATTTTGAAACAAAGTGCAGCACAAACCCCCTCCCGTAACAGACGTTCTATGTGACGAAACCCTCTGTCACCTAGGTAATGCGAGTTAACCTTCGTTAACTGTCGTAAAGTCACGCAAATCTCATACAACTAAAAAGGAGCGTGGAAATCTGCTGCAGCAACAGCTAATACATGAACTGTTTTTGCTGATTTTTCTTTCCGCTTGCCCGACTTGGTAAACTACGTTCGGGACAAGCTGTGACATACTTGAAGATCGCGGCACCAGAGACCAGAGAGGATGTTTAAAAAGTACGTGTCTGTGTTGTACCGTTAGCTAGCAGCACACTGAAGTAGCCAATGCTAAGTTGCGAGCATTAGCGTGTTTGATATTGTAGAAAGATAGTATTTAGTATTTAGAAACTGACCTTTAAGGTGTTTAATTTTCTACTGGTAACACTAGATTTTGAGGCAAGCAGGAGTAGCTTCAATAAGCATTAGTAGAGCTAGCATTCAGCTAATACAAGAAGGGCAGATTTGAGTTATTTTATTTTCTGTCAGTAGCTTTCTGTTAGATGTTAGCTGCATAAAACCAGTCTAAGTCAAACAGAGCTTCTGAGTGGGATCAGTAGTTGTTTTCTTTCATATTTCAGCTAAAACAGCACACAAAAGAAACAAACTAATGAACATTCTCATGCAGCTCCCTACCAACACGAAATTAATTTATCAGATTAAAATACTACTTATAAACTGTCAGCCAATTAATGGGATGACCAGGCAGTTTATTTTAATATTTTCTGGTAGCTTGTAAAACATGAATAGTATGATAAAAAAGAAAAATAAGATACCAAAATCTAAGGGTTAGGTTCTACAAAGAATGTTGATTTTCTTGCACTTAAAATTCAAAATTGCAACATATTTGTACAGAAGTCTAGAAGAAGGTTGATCTTTTAAACATATTTGGGGAACATGGAGGAATGGAGAACTGTTCTGGTATTGATAATTAGGAATGAGGATGATGTGTTAAGCTGTAACTAAAGGTTTAAAATGTTGATGAGCCATACCATCAGTACATGTGAGAGTTATTAAAGAAAAAAATGACAATGGAATAAGTATTGTGTTTCTATTTAAATCAGGATTTTAAAGGATTGGAAAGTGCTTGATTTCTGTATATAGTCCTTGTACAGTTTTGTAATAAAGCTGTAATAATTTTTTAAGAGACAAAACTATTTACAGAAAGTCAAATGATTATTTATATTCTGTTTAAGTATTTAATTTGAGCAGGAAGGTAATTTACCTTACAACAAACCGATATGTTAAATGTAAGATATTTATTTTTCCTAATGGCTCAATAAGTTATTGATCAGTGTAATTCAAATAAAGGTGGTCTTATATTTTAGATGTTAAAGTTGTTGAAAGTTTGGTTTTTTTTGTTACATTTGTGTTTTGTTCTCAGACTAGTCAGGTGTATGGAGTGTGTGTAAAAGACACATTTCAAAACATTTAAAAAAAAGTTTATTTGCTCCCTTCTATAATACTATAACATATTAGTAGCAAATTAGTAATAAAGCATGTCATATAAGAGAAAATTTATAGTATGTTCCTTAGTTACTTTGTATTGTTTTTATCTATGGAGTTTGGCGCTGGAAAAGTTTTAAATTTTATCAATTTAACATTATCAATAAAAATACATGGATAAGTATAACTCTTAAAGTTAAATATGTGTTTGTTTGCTTTTTTCAGATTTGATGAGAAGGAAAATGTGTCGAACTGCATCCAGCTGAAAACATCAGTGATCAAAGGCATCAAAAACCAGCTGCTGGAACAGTTCCCCGACATCGAGCCATGGCTCAATCAAATAATGCCAAAAAAGGACCCTGTTAAAATAGTGAGATGGTACGATCCGCGTTTCCTGCCTTCGTTGTCTCATGAATATTCTGTTCAGGTTGGTGATCTGCACTGTTATCTTCTGTGTGCATTTCAGCCATGAACACATTGAAATCTTGACAGTGAACGGAGAACTGCTTTTCTTCAGACAGAGGGAAGGACCTTTCTATCCAACCCTCAGGCTGCTCCATAAGTGTAAGCTTTCCTCAACAACATGGTTTAAAAATAAAATCTCTGATATTTGACTTTAATTTACTTTTTTCTTTCAAAATTGAGATTACAAATGACAGGAAATATTTTTGAAAAAGCTGCTTTTATTTCAATCATCTCTCTTCTGTGAGTTATACCACGGAGTATTAGAGATTTTTTGTTTAACTACTAGAATATGATCATAATTTTTAGCAAATTAAAGACCAGAAGAACGTTTTAATGAGAAAAAAGCTTGGATAATTAATTTTTGGTTATTTTGTCATGAAATACTATGTCTTTATTCTGATAACATTAAGACATCCTCTTCATAAAACTCTTATACAGTAAATGCTTCAGTCAGAGGCTTCTACAGAGCTGCTGTAATACAGACTGCTACAGGAGATCCAGTTTCTGTAACAACGCTGAAGCTACTGGGATTATAAAAGTGACAACATTTAATTTCTCTCTCAGATTAATAAAGTATTTTTATTTGAACTGATTTGAACCAGGTGATGAATGAAGAGAAGAATCAGAAATTAATGTTTCTTATTGTGAGAAATAAACCAGAAATTCAGGTAATCAGGTTAAACATAAATAACTATAATTATCGCACAAATATCATGAAGTAGTAAAGTTCAAATGTTCAAGTCAAGAAAATTAACTGCAACATTTTGATTTTCAACTTTGGAAACTAAAATGTTTTTGTTTGTTTGTTTGATTGGCCTTGGATTACAAATTAATTTAGGAGGTAACAAATTAAATTTATCTTGAGTTTATTCAGTAAGATCAGTATTTCTATAAAAAGGAAATCACATTGAGACAGAATGTTTTATTTTAATCTCTTTGACGCCTCTTGTATTTCTTGGGTAAAAATGCTGCGAAAACATTACAGTATTTTTATAACATTATGATTTTAAAAAATTTAGCCTCACTGTTAAATTTAGCTGAATTCAAGAGAAGATGTTAAACAAGATGGCCACCCTGCGCATGCTAACATCAAATCAAAGGAGTGAATTGTTGAAAAAAATCCAGATTTTCCAAAAATTGAATGTTTAATAATTTAATTAACTGATTTGTCACCCAGCCCTACTGATACTAAAGCATTTAGTTGATTTTATTTCCTTTTCTCTCAGATCCTTTTATTCTTCCACACCAGCAAGTGGACAAAGGGGCCATAAAGTTTGTGTTGAGTGGAGCAAACATCATGTGTCCCGGACTCACCTCACCAGGTGCCAAACTCTACCCTGCCGCTGCCGACACAGTAGTTGTATCCTTTCAATCATGATGTGTTGTTGTAGTTTTTTTTCTGCTGTCCAACATCAATTTCAACGTTCTCTGCAGCTTTTAAATCAACATTTCCAACATGTTTGTCTTTAACAAGTTGATTCAGGCGATCATGGCAGAGGGGAAGCAACACGCGCTTTGTGTTGGTGTAATGAAGATGTCGGCTGAAAACATGTAAGCCTCCCAAATGTTTTACTAAACAAATCCTTCACTGTTCACGTCCTTATGACTAAGATCCGAATCTGTGTCTAACGAACAGAGAAAAAGTCAACAAGGGAATCGGAATCGAGAACGTTCACTATCTGAACGACGGTTTGTGGCACATGAAGACGTACAAATGATGCCACCCAAACCGAGCGACGGCAGCTCAGCCGTTTCCACCTTCACACTTCGCTTTGTAACCTGCTGGAGGCTGCAAATCTGCCATCATGATGCACAAATGAATAAAAGATCCTGGTTCAAACCACTCCCCGTTTGTGCTTTCCTTAAATTATTTGAATTAGAAACAGCATCAAGGATGTGATGTGGTTTCAGACATGTTGACATTATGAGGAAGGGAGCGGCAAAGTGACAAACAAAGCAACAGTTAAACCTGTTTATCTGCATGCTTTAGTTGGGAGCAAGGTGAATATTCAAAGAGGTGAATAAAGTAATGGTAGTGTTGGTTAAAAACTGACTCTAGATGTCAGTTTAGCTTGTAAAAACGTATTAAAATCCAAACTATTAAGAAGAGCAGCTTTTATTGGATTTATGTGAAGTTATCTACCACTACTTGGGTAGCAGCACCACAGGTTAGGATATAAGATGCACACAATTTCACAGGATTATTTTCATAAAGTTAGTTCTTTCAGCCATTTATAATTTGCATAAGACCACATAATTTGAATATTGAAATGTTGGATTTATTTTTTTATTACCCAATAAGACATTTTTACTGGAGACATAATGCATAAATGTCTTACCATAAACATTTAAACTCCAGAAATATGAAAATATGTTTATAAAGAAAATTATTTTTGCTCATTTCTTCTCACTATTTGCATTTTTAGATTATTTTTCTCCAGTTTTTGTTTGAAGTTGAACTATTTTAGTTTAAATTTAAACTAAAATTGTTCATGAAACCAAACAGGAAAAAACAGTTTGTCAGACAAATTGTAATTGCTAAATGCTGAGTTACTTTTTAGGAATATTTTTATTTTTATAATCAAACTCATTCATTTTTGGGGATAGAAAATGATTTAGTAGGGTACAAAAATCATAAAAGTTCCTTAAACGATTAATTTCTATCACTAATATTGTTCAAACAAAAATCAGGTGAATGTAAATCAAGAAAAAAAACCCTAAAATATTTAATATCCGATTCTTCATAAAACAGAAAACCAAGCATAATGTTTAAGCAGCTTGATTACAGCTGAACTGTGTCATGTAAAGCTACAGTATGTAATTTTAATGAAATGTTTCTTCTTATTAAAACTGCCACCAGTTCATGAGACAGATGCAAAAATGAACCGTTTCAAAACAAAGCCAGGAGGAGGAGCTTAGCGCTGTCAATCACTCTTATGCTCAACCCCACTCAGTTAAGCACTTTGAATTGCCTCATTGCTGAAAATGTGTTATATAAATAAAATTACCTTACCTTAATTTTTGCTAAGCTAGGTTCACCACAACACTAGTCACTAGTTCTAATGCTAGTTAGCATAGCCACAGATTATAGTAGATAAACGGTTGCTCTGTAAGGATGATTTGTTTTTTTCACCATTAGAACATTTAGCGGCACACATGTGGATGATTGACAGCGCTAAGACCCACCTCCTGGCTCTGATTGGTTGTTTCTGACTAAGTGGTGTATTAATGCTGGGAGAATCATACTTTACATACTTTTAACAAATATGTAAAAGTTTAAAAATTGCATACTGCAGCTTTAAGGGCACAACAATAAAACGTTAAATCTGATCATTAACAGGTGGAACTCCACAGATTTATAATGTTATTTTACAATAACAAAACAGAAGCTTAAAGATTGAGAACAAAACTTCAGGAACCAAAGTCCAAACCGAGATGATCCAGTCTCAGATCCACAGACATCCACCACCGGCCGAGTCAAGTGCAAAAAGTTACAAATATACATAACTCCCCCCAGGATCAAGTCTCGTAAACAAATATCTAGAGTCAGGTTTGCCATCACAGAAGCAAAATCTTCAAAACGACCAAGCGAGGCTAGTCGTTGTCTGAGCCTTTGGGAGGGAAAAATGTCAATAAGTCGTGGAAGTTGTGTCCATACGGACGGAGCCTGTAAACTCCGAACATCATGACCTGCATCTGGTTGGCAGACAGGCCGCTGAAGGTGACGGCCAGGTCGGAGCAGCAGCCCTCCACCACGTTGCTGGGGTTCTGCTTCATGCTTTCCGATATCAGGCTGTCCACCGTCTTGCTGTTGAACAGACCCTTCCCGTGGACGTCCTCTCCGTTCTCCGCAAACACGCCGGTGAACTTGAGGCACACGGCGAGCTGCTTGTCGTCGCTCAGCTTCCACAGCTGCCGTCCTCTCTCCGGACACTTGTCCTCGTCCTGGAAGACGTTCACCAGCCTCTTCAGGGCCTCGTAGCTCAGGACGATGCCGCTGTTCAACTCGACGTACTCCAGCTCCCCGGACTTCACCGCCTTCCCCAGGTAGAACGGCTGCTCCGGGTCTTTGGTGAGCACCAGGTACTTGAGGTTCTCGATGATGGCGAAGGTGTTGGGCTGAGCCACGAAGAACCAGCGGATGTCCCCGGCGTTCTCGTAGGCGTGCTTCAGAGCCTTACGCAACCTGGCCCAGTCGTCCTTCTCGTTCAGGTCTATGGCTTCCAGCGCCTTGGAGGCCTCTGAGGTGTAAAACTCGACCTTGTCGCAGTGCTTGGTCCAGGTGTCCAGCGCCGTGGCCCAGTAGACGAGGCTTTTGGGCTGCACCATGACGACGCAGTAGACCTGAAGTTGGTCGTTCAGCTCCTGCAGCCGGCTGTCAGAGAGCTGCTGGAGCTCGTCTTTGCTCGCAGCCTTGACGTGATGATGATGGTGGTCGTTGCCGTCCGTCCTGGACTCGGTGGCGGGGCTGAAGCTGCCCAGCAGCGACAACACCAAGCAGAAGAGGCCACCCAACACCATCCCCTTCATGAAAGAGCCTCCCTCCGACAACATGATGGCAGCAGCGGCTGGACAAGACAAAAACTGTTTTTATTCCTCATTTCAGTTACTTAAAATCTGCAGTCGAGGTGCAAAGAAAATTTATTTTCTAGTGTTGAAACAAGGACTGTTGCAACAAATCAATTAGCATGATGAATGAAAACAAACTCAGTTATTCCATTTTCCTGATTTAACATTTCTCTTTTTCTACCAAAAACTGGGTGATAAAAGTTTTCAGTTTGATGCTTTGGTCTCAACTAGCTCTTTTTTTGTAGGACAATTTTCTTTACAGAGACATCATAATTAATTTTATTTGTTGTTTCTGTTGTTTTATATTTTTAAAATGTCTTTCAGTTAAAGTGTTAAATGTGTCATTGCATTTTTACTTGAAAATGGTCTCAAAACAACAATTTTATGATTTATCTCTTCTGGGACGTTTTACCATCCAGCAAAATTTGTAATTATGACAGGCCAAATGAAACGATTAATCGTAATGAATCAATTGCTGAAATAATTGTCAACTGATTTAGTAATCGACTAATTGTTAACAGGAGCATTTAGACTGAAAAAATTCAAATTTCCGAAAGAGCAACATAATCAGAACAGTAAGCAAGCCAAACTGTTACAAATAATACATACATTTTGTATTTAAAAATTAAAAAACTTCTTTGTCCGTAAATATTTGAAACTGTTTTAACTTCACCTGGTTCAAATTTTAAATAAATCTCATGTTAATCACCTTTTCCTATCCAATTATAAATCAGTTAATCCAAAAATAATAAACAGATCAGCCCTATACTGTATAAATGCTCAGTCAAGAATGTTAATGCTAGAAGCATTAAATAAAGTAAATAAAGCCAGAAGATGAAGAGCAGGATGTACATGCACTGTGCAATCAGTTGCTAAACAAACTGAAGTCTCCATAAATGAGAATAAACCAGGCTGTGTCTTTAACAAACTCATGCAATAGTTTTAACAGGCTGTGGTTTCAAAACCATTCATTGAAAGGTTTCTTATTGCCACTCCTACAGCTTGAAGTCCTTTTGCTGACATACGAGGGAAATTCTTGGAGACACCCAGGTTTTCAGGATGGATAGTCCTGCCCATCCCCCACATGTTGCTGCAGAAGGCTACTAAACTAAATTAAAAGCCTGTTACTAGCATAACACTATTTTAAAAATACAGCTGACCATCTTTGAGCAGATACTGTAAACCAGGTAATATCTGCTTACTGCACTGTCAGTGAAAAACAGCATTTTTTTTATTCAGACACTGGTTTATTTGTCATAAAAAAAAAAATCAAACCTAATGTTAGTTCAACAAATTACATGTGTAACAGGGTTTTATTTTAACAATATTAGAAAAGTGAAGTCTATTTATTCTTTGAATTTATTTAGTTTAGTGAAGAAGTTGTTTCTTCAGAAATTTATTGGTGTTTTAAGTTCTGTTATTGCTTTGTAATTTCTTTAGGTTTATTTATTATATTTTATTTAATATATAGGGGCAGAAGCTGCTGGACTGATGTTAACCAACATCTTGATTTCCTCTTTTGTTAGAATAAATTCAGTGAACCTGAATGTGTCTGTCGTGAAGTCAACCAAATGGATCTGAGACGAACATAGTCAAAGATTGCTTTGCAATAATTATTTAGGCTCCTCACAGAACGGGGTAGAAGTAAACATCATTATGTAATACATGATGACAACTAATACCAAATTTAGTCAGTATTTGTATTTCTACTAACAGTAAATAAATGTTGCATGATAATCATTAAATAATTGCACTAATAATTTATGTTAAATATGAAGTCATAATTTATTATCAATCTTTTTCAAAATTATTCCTTTTCTTATTATTTATATATTTTGGTTTTAAATTCTTACATTTTACTGAATTTGAAACCCAATCTTATTCTGTCCAGTGACTATTAAAACTGACATGCACCTTTTAATGCTGTAAAAGTTGTAAGATTTTTGTTACCATTTATTCATCAATATGAGTTTGAAAATAAATTCACAAGCCATAAAGTTAAAAACTGGTCTAAAGTCATATCTTTATTTACTCAAACTATTTGTGTGATCAATATAAAATATACTGACTGATGACTTAAGTTAACTTTGACATTTAGTTAAATATAAATCATAAAAGGCTGAAAATACACATTAATAATGCTAAACATTCTAAGTAAGAAGGCTAGTTCTGTTTTAGGGAAACTTAATTAGTGCTTTACTATTTATTTTTTGCACAATAAATAGTTTTTTATTGTGCAAAAAACTATTCATTATATAATCAAGATTACAGACAACCCCAAGCATCCTATAAAATCTTCAGTCAGAAGCCTCTAGAGAGCTGCTGTAATACAGACTGCTAGAGGAGATCCAATCTGTTCACAGACAATCAGTTTCTACAACAACTCTGAAGAAACTGGGATAATATAAATTAAAACATTTAGTCTCCCTCTTGGATTAATAAAGTATTTTTTATTTAAACTGAATTAATGTTGATGTATGAAGACTTACAAAATTAATGTTTCTCGTCATGTTAGAGAAATAAACCAGAAAGTCTGGTAATACTAAACATAAACAACTACTACTGTCCGATTTTTGTAGTGTAGTGTAGTAACAAAGTTCAAATGTTCAACTCAAAAAAGAAACTATGAAGCAGTTTGTTCAAACACGGACCATTTGTTTTTAGTTTAGTCCACGCTTTATCTCTTCGACGCGTCTTAAATTCAGGGGTAAAAATTATTCTAAAACATTACGTCATATTTTAGTCCGAATGGTTTTTCAAATTATTATTACTTTTTATGTACTTAGATTAGCAGCTCTGGTAAGCTAACAAATAACTTTAAAACACCAACTGTAGTCGCTCTTTCAGAAAACCCTATGCTAACGGCTAGCTACTTAGCTCCATGTTAAGGCTTTCTCTATGTTTTTATCGACAACATAAATAAAACATAAACGGAGGATTTATTTCTACTGTACCTCAGCGGATTATTCTTGCCCTGACAGCTGGTGCCTTCGCTGCGACTGTCTTTCAACTAAAGCTTCCTGTTTGGTTGGTCACGGACGTGAGTCTGCGTCAGTCTAATCTTCTTCTTCTTCTTCTTCTCCATTCAGTTGTTTGAGCGGATATATGCTGCCCCCTTCAGGATGCTTTTAACACCTCGCCTTGACTTTAATTCACAGTGATAAATGGTGTGGATACTTTATCAGAAACAAAGTATGATATTTCTCCTTTATACTGAACACACCCCAACTGTATATTAACGATTTTTTGTAATTGTACAAAAGTAGTGAATGTTTAAAAAATAGAGACAATTGACACATAAAAAGACAAACATCCATTTAAGAAATACATTAATGAACAGTCACTAGTATTGCACTTTAGTTTTATCTATAGCTGATCCTGAATGGAGCTGGTTTAGAAAGGTATGTGTCCATTCTGATTACCTCAAATTAAATGTCTGAAATGACGAAAAACAAACACTAGTTTCACTAGGGAAATCTTGTTTAATGTGTCTGCTAATTTGTCCATTTTGATTTCACTTTTAGACCTTGAAATTAAGCTTTTGCAGTGTTCCTTTTTTGTTCTTATTGTTGTCTGGTTGGCAGAGGGATTCATCAAATGTTTTTTTTTAGACAAAAAGAGATGGAAGCCATAAATCACCTGAAGCCCTGCACACTGATCTGAACAGCATTAGAGAGCTTTCAGTTTGACAAAGAGCCTCACAGGCCAAACTCTTGATGAGGAGAAAGGAGTTCAAAACCTTTTTTCAGTTTCTGAAACAAATCCTTTCTCACTTTGTTGTTGTTTTATAGATCTAACTTCAGCTTGTTTAGAAGGTGAATACATTCTCAATTATTATCTTCCCCTGCAAATAGGAAAAAGGACATTAAAAGCTCACCATGGAAATTTACAAAGGATGTTTCACACTTTTGAATTTTAATAATAAGCATGAATCTTCATCTTTTGGATTTGATATGTATCATTTTACTTTGTCCGACTGAGTAAAAAAATCTTTTTCACGATCATCCCTTACATTTCAGTGAAGCTGTTTTCTTTTATTTTCTCATGCATGAAATAAGCTTCAAACTAACTTATAGACTAGAAGAAATGAGTCAGTTTTAGATTGTGGGCCTCTTTTTTAACTAATTTCCTTCCTTGTGTGTCAATGTTCTGCTACATCATGTGTTCCTGCCTTTGACAGAATATTTCTCCTTCATGTTGAAAGCAAGAACAGTATAAGTATTAATTTTGTGGCGGTTCAACAGGTTTTTCTTGCTACTCTTCTTTGCACTGCAACCGGTTTGATTAAAGAGATTAAAGAATGAGTCAGTGTTAGACGTCTCTGTGCTGTTTTAATTTGAAACATAATATATGTTGTGTTGACAGCTTAATAATGGAGTTTGAAGGAAAGTAAACTGAATAAAGTTCTTTATTAAAGTATTCATACCATTTTAATCTACAAACACAAATGACCAGCGATGCAGAATACAGAGGGAAAATCCAACAAGGAATATTTTTGTTTTAGTTTCTAGTGCAAATATCTTGGTACACTTGAAATAAGACAAAACTGACTTGCTAATAACTTTTCAACAAGAAATCAGAGCTTGCATTAAGTCAGTAAATCCTTAATATTGATTAAAAAGTAGTAGCTACAGGCAGAGGAGGGTAGCATATCCAAAAATTGTTCTTGAGTAAAAGTAACACTACTTCATTGTATTTTTACTTAAGTAAAAGCAAAGAGTAGCTGTCCAAGAGATTACTGAAGAGTAAAAAAGTCTAGTCAAAGTAAAAGGTCTACTCAAGCACTGAACTGATCAAATTATCAATCATTTAATATTAAAAAATTACATCATCAGATGAACCAAAATGTAAAGTCAAGTGAAAATCTTGGTATTTTAAGGATAAGAATGAAAATAATTAATATAAAGATCAGATAATAAAATCAGATTAAACAAACACAGTGTGTCTGAGTCTGGTGAATTTTTGGTTGAAACATTTTTGTTCTTCCTTCAGTAGGTAGAGAATTTAGAAATTTTACTCAAGTAAAAGTAGCAATACTTCATAATAAAGTTACTCAAATAAAAGTTCAGCGTAGTAAAAGTACTCCTATCAGTGCATGTTTTCCAAAAAGTTATTCAAGGAAATGTAACTAGTTACCATCCAACTCTGTCTATAAGTGACATAATCTGCCAGTGGAACAAAACATTTTTCCCATGTTATAAATTAAAATGTTTTGTTCCACCTGTGCAACAGCATAATTATGCATTTTAATCAGATGTCATCTTCTTTTGCTGTTTTTGTCCTGTTTGGAGTTCATTTCCACTTTACACTATGCTATTTGTTTGTTTTGTTGCAAAAATGATTATTAGTATTACCATAGGATTCAAACAAAGGATTATAACATATTGCACATGATTTCAGAGATGCCTCTCATTTGTTGCAGAATGACGTAGAAAAACCCAGCAGTGACACATTTCTAGGCGTTCTGCGTCTTCCTCTGGCCGCAGACATGATGAGCAATGACCAGAGGCCCAAACATGAACCATCAGAGCTGCTCTGATTGCCGCCGGAGAGCAAACATTTGTTTGGTTTCTCTGTGCAAGCACAGATAGGCCTCAGCTGAATTGACAGGGTGCCCTAAATTGTGTCGGTGACGCCCGATCCTTCGTGTCAGAACCATTAAAGAAGACTGGGGTGTGATGATAATGTATTGATCAGGCTGTGATGGATGGCCACGGAGGAAATATAAGTGAAGTTCCCGTTTGGGTTGAAAACAGTCCGGACCAGGCCAGCTGACCGTGGAGACACCATGCTTTCTGCAGCTCTGTTTTACCTCTTAGCTCTGATTTGCTCTGCGACATGGACGCACGCTCTGCCCGTTTATCCAGATCCCAATGTGGAACCACAAGCAGGTAAGATTCAAACTTTACTCCTGATTTTAAAATGGAAATCAGGAAAAATCTTATTACTCTGATTATTAAATCTTATTCTTATTATCAGAAAATGTACTTTCTAAAAAAGCCTAAAACACTGCAAAAACACAGAATCTTACCAAGTATTTTCGGTCTGCTTTATAGTGCAAATATCTTAGTACCCTTGAAATAAAACAAAATTAACTTACAAGTAACTTTTCAGCAAGATATAAGATCTTGTTTTAAGTAAATAATTCCTTGATATTAATGAAAAAGTGCTAGTTTGCAGATCATTTCACGGGAAAAAAACAAAAAAACAAACAGTATTCATGACCACAAGCATAACGTTACAAAATTAAAACTCAGATATTCTTTGACAAGTTGCAAACCTGTTAGATCTGTTTACTGAGTTTATAAAGTCAGATATTTGTAACAAAAAGTGACCAAAGTCTAGGCTTTAAGTGGTAAATTAAAGAGAGGCGTATTTAGATGTTTTCCAAAAAGTGTAAGAGTTATATCAACAACGCAAAAACTAAAAATATTATAAAGTATTTTGGTCTAGTTTGAAGTACAAACACTTGAAAGTGCACTTGAAATAAAACAAAACTAATTCATAAGTAACTATTCAGTAACACATAAGAGCTTATTTTAAGTAAATATTGATTTCATAAGTGCTAGTTCCAGTGGCAGATTATTTCATTTAAAACATTACATTTTTCCCATAAGTGGAATAATCTGCCAGTGGAACTAGTACTTTTCCATCAATACTAAGGTTTTATTTACTCAAAATAAACTCTTGTATCTTGCTGAAAAGTAGTAAGATATGTACTAAGATATTTAAACCAGAAATTGGTCAAAAAAATACTTGGTAAGATTTTGTGTTTTTGCAGTGTAAAACGTCAATATAAACAAAAAAAGTTGTTTTATTTCAACAGATTTCATTCATAAGTTGTTGTCAGAGGTGGAAGATGGAGCCAACGCTGCTGAGGAGGAACAGAGAGAGGCGAATAACCTTTACCCTCTGATGATGCACCAGAACGGAGGGAGAGACTCCTGGACCAAAGGTAAAACCGGGACAAATGTACCAACTTTTACAGCAAAAAACACAAAAAAGATGAACTATGTGACATTAACGCTGTGATAACTTATTCCTATAGGGGCAAAGGATTCACCACCACAGGGAAATTTTGCAAATATGGTAAGTGTGATAATTAGTGCATATTTTTTACTATACAGTTAAAAACGATTGCAAAAATCACAAAGCAAAACAAAAGACTTGTATAAGATGAAATAAATGACACCAAAATTATCTTTTTGTAGGAATTTTACAATTAATAAGTTTTTTTTTTTTTTTAAATATAAGGATCAGGATAATTGCAAAATGTCAGTACAGGTTTGAAAAAAAGCAGAAACCAAAATGTCACAAATGTTTTACTTAGAATAAACTAACTAAACAAAAATTGTTAAACTCGTATTTCTGAATCTAATTATTTTTTCAGGTAGATGACCTTAAAGAAGTCGTCCTGAAGCTGGCTGCAGCAGACAAACTGCGCTCTCAGGGCTTTGTCCGATCAGAGCAGAGTCTGCCCAAAACAAACAAAAGAGGTGAGAGAAGAGGCGATTTTTCTCTCTGGTAAACTCGCCACACCTGCATTCCTTTCTGAATAGTTTGAAGTGATGTTTATTTAATTTTTTTACCCAAGCTGTAAAAAATTTTCAGATAGTTTTAAATAAATAAAATTCTTTATCATTGAGGAGACTCTGCTGAAGCACTGAACCAGATTTTTTTTAAATAATATTTTTGTAATCTATCCCTTCTTCCTGTGTTTAACTGGACTGTTTTCTGCTTGCAGCGTGTTTCTGGAAATACTGTGTGACCAACTAGAGCCCAACAGGCTGATGCTTAGATCCTGGCTTTGGAGAATGTTCCCACTCTTCATTATTTTTCTTTTAGTTCCCATCGAATATGTTGTCTGTACCAGATATAAAAAAGAGGATATATTTTTAAACCTGTAAAATTGTCTTTTTCTGTGACTGAGAATAAATTAGAGTATCTGAAATGGCCTCTACACCCAGAGATCTGGTTTTATTTTCCTGAAGAACAACAGAAATATCATGATGAGGAACAAGTAGATTTATTTAATAGTGTGTTTGTTAGAGTTCATCAAACAAAAATTAACTGTCATATACATGAATATACCTATGCAGGTGTTTTTGATTTTTAAAAAGCATTCAAAAATATTTATATGTACACTATAAACAATAACTCAGCTAAACAGTAAATTGCACTCTGGCTCTTTTTCATCTGAGTAACTAAAGATAAACATGTGAAATGATGCTTTCAAGGTACTGAATGTCTCATTCATCAGATGAGCTCATATTTGTGACAACAGCGCCCTCCAGAGATCACTTTTGGAGTTACATTTTGGAGAATAACATGATGAAATGTGAGTTTTTATTTCCGCTTCGCGACGCCAAAGTAAGCCTTTTCGATCTCGATGTCGGCCGGACATGTTTGTTTGAATTCCTCCCGTTCGTAGGCGTTTTCCAGGTACCTCCAGACTCCTGTGAACTCGGCTGGGATCTCAAAATCGCAGTACTTCTTGGCAGCGACCTGAAAAAGAAATCAGGAGTTAGCTTCTTCTTCTACTTTTTTCTAAGTGTAGCCGGGTGATACATTTATATTTCCCGGGTTGCATAAGCTGTCAAATTTGTCAACTTCAGATACACAACATGTGTATCTGAATTATTAATTTTGCTGTTAAAACAGCAAAATTAATGCGGGTAACCATGGTAACTAGCGAGCGTTTAAAGGCTAGCAACGGCTCTTTCTGCAGTCAAGTTGCGCGCGCATCCGCCGTGTTTACAAGCAAATAATACCGGGCATAAACATAATTTATAAAAAGTCAACAAACAAGATTAGATTTTCACACATATATGGGATAAAACAAAAATATAATTTTATTTTTCTAAAACATTTTTTATTTAATTAAATAAAAAAAAACTTTTATTAAATACAATTTTTTTTTCTTAACAAAATAAAGATTTTTCTTTTTTTTTACTCAATTTGACTTATCTCTGGTGGTGATCCAACCCCAATTTTGGAAACACTTGATGTTTCTGAACTATAATGCAAATAACTTCAATTTGTATAACTACAGTAGGTCCCAGTCATATTTATTTAGGGACTTCTTTTACAATTAAGATTTCTGAATTCAGATCTCATTTTAACTAGTGACTGAGAAATAAATTTCACCTGTCTGAAATGTATTTATTTGAAATAGGTTTTTAAAAACAAGAAAGCAACTAATTAGGACAAGAGAAAACATGTCCATACTTCCCAAAAACAAAATAATTAGCTTACCACTGCTTTTCTGTATAAAAAGGAGCAGGAAGATATGAAAAGTAATCTCACTTTAATGAAATATACCGACTTATTTACCGACTCAGTCAACGCAACTCATTAAACACACTATGTTATTTAATCAATGTCACGTTGACCAAAAATCTATTAAATCGAGTAGTCTGGTTTATTTGTGTGGATGAACAGACCTTCAGTACAAACAGGAAAGATGAGAAGAAGAGTTGTCTTTCTAACAAGTATGGTATTTTTTTAAATTAAATGTTCACATTTGTTTGGAAACAAATATTTTGTGCATAAAAAGTAATGCCAGTATAGACAAAATTGTAAAATTGTAAATAGTAGCAGTAAATTCAGTGAGTATTGCTGCTGATGTTGATTTTGAAATCAATGTTAGGTTCACTGAAAATAACTAAATTTATTTTATTGTCCACCATCAACATTAAGCCAACAGAGGTTATTTTCATTATTTTTAAAAGTTTCTTTGATTAAATAACCTCTTGTTTTGCATAATCAACTTAGATTCCAGCGACAGATATGAACTTTTGTTTGTTTGTTTTAGAACTTGCTGGTTGAAAACTTTAATATCTACATATTCCTTGTTTGATCAACACAAGACCTTTTATTGGTCCAGTCTACCCAAACACATGTGAAACCCTTTTTAACCCTTTATTTTTTTTCCTGTCTTGAATAAAAACCTCACACATGTCTCACCCTGATGACATGCAGCTTGGGCAACAGGTTGCAGTCTGCTAAGGTGAGTCGGTCACCGTCCAGAAACTTCCTTCTGGAGATCGCAATGGTTTCTGCAGAGTTGTGATCGATTTCCTCAGGGAGCGGGCTGTTTAAGTATTTGTCCAAACGATGAAACTCTCGCAGGAGAATCTTTTCCTGTGCTGAAAGATCAGAAGAAAACAGAGATTTTGCACCGTCGTTATCCAGTAGTCCTTAAATTAAACATAAAAAATCTGTGAATCTATTGCTTCAAAACAAAAATCTACAAGAGTCCACGCTTCTCAAGAGTTCTGGTCTCCTGAGGCTACTGGTTCAATAGGATACACTCTAAATCAGCTAAGTCGAGACCTGTTCTCAACAGTTATCATCCTGAAACTTTAAGATACATCCCTAGTCCAACACAGCGGCAACACATGCTCAAAATCTGCCAAACAGGAACCACGACGAAACCTGTCTTTGGCACTGAGGCCTTGGATGTCTGAAGGCTCCTCACCTTTGATTACATTTTAAAATGAGGAGCAGTGTGAAAGCAAACTACACCAGCTGAAAATGTAACAAATGTTTAAATTTTGGTTCCAATCAGACCGAGTCCACTTGTGTGAAAACACCCTTAGAGATTAGTCAGTAGTTGCCATGGAGAGAGGGTCCAGTTTGGGCTTTCTTATTTGGCCTTCACATAGATGGATTAATTAATCACAAACAAACTTACGGGCATTGTTTGGGCTGTTCTTGATGAAAGCGGAGAACTTTGCAAAAATGTCTGAACCCACGTCAAAGGACTCTTTGTTCACCGGGCTGAGATGTGGATACCTTTAACAGAGAAATGAGATTAGAAGCCTTAATGTTTACTTTCATTTAAGCATGAGCAACATACTCAAACTCCCACTTCACTTGGTATTTGGATAATGGTGTGAAACAACAATACCTGGGAGGGGCAAGTGTTTGTTCAAGGAACTCCTCAATTTTGATGAAGTCTGTTTTAAGGGTGCCGTTGTAGAGGAGGAAAGGAGGGTTTGTCCCCGGGGCCAGGTCTTTGAGCTCAGCTGGCTTCCTGGAGAAGACACAAATAGGAGCAAGGGACAACATTTTAATTCTGTTATCAAGCACGTCAACACTGAGGCTAAATTGACTGTTGAGGCCCAAATAGTTATGTCTGTGTAGACGAAGTAGGCATTTGAAAAGGAAGACGTGTCTCAAGAGCCAACCTAAATGGGCAACCAAAGAACAAGGTATTCCTCAAAGACCACGCCTGATTGGGCGAAATTAACGTCTGTCATTCAAATTTTTATTTTTTTAAAGTATTGCTAGCTAATCCAACTTCTTTGGGATCGGACTTTCATGTACTTATTCTTTTGTTGTAACCCAGTGTATCAGAAGACTTCAGGGTTAATTACACCTACTTCGAAAAGACGTAATGTGGGTTGTGTTAGCAAATCCGACATTAGCGGCTTCGCTTAACAGAAAACGTCCGGTTACATTTCAAAATAAGAGCATCAACATAAAAGGCGGTGATTTTTCAGAGATGTTTTTAAATAGTAGCGTCCGTCATTCGACTTTTTCCTTTTTTAAATAAATAAATAATATAATATAATATAATATAATATAATATAATATAATATAATATAATATAATAATAACGACAGGCACATTTTGTTAGCCAGTCCGACATTAGCAGCGACTCCATGGCTTCTCTTCCCGCCTCTCTTAACAGAGAACGTCCGGTTACATTTCAAAATAAGAGCATCAACATAAATCACGCGATTTAACGGTTAGACAGAGATGTTCATATTTTAGGAGGGCTAAATTTTGATACCTTGTCGTTACATTAAAAACAAAATTGGTTTTGGTTACTGAAATAATATGAAATTAACAAATGTTACATAAGTAGTAAACAAGTAATAAATCCATAATTTTAAAAAATAATGTTATTAAGCTGGTTTTGAGACTAAGAAATCGTACTCAGCATCGTATTTTCTTGTTCAACTCTTTAAAGCAGTCAGCGCAGATGATTTCTGCTGCTGAAACTTGCCAACTGTTTGCTTTTTAAAATCGCCACTTTCTTTGAGGATGTCAGAATCAAACATGTCACTCTGGATTATTAATAATCAGAGTTGCGTAAACTCTGGATTATTAATAATCCAGAGTTTACGCAACTCTGGGAGTGGTCGTCTGTTTGAAAGGCCTGCCTGTGTGTGTAATGAATCACTCATTTATCTACATCCTTACAAAGTTTCCTGGCCCTATTTGCTTGTTGGTTCTGCCCCTGAGAAATACACACAATAAATTCCCAATTAAAGAAGGTGTTGTTTTGAAAGTGACAGAGATCTTTGTACTTCTAGACTTTTACAGGCTCACTTTGACAACCCAATGTGAGCAACACTTTGTGACAGATGAGAAGTGGTTTGGATTATGACAAAACTATAGTGTGTTCTGTGTGAAAGTCCCCATGACCAGATGCTCAGGAAAGGGGTGCTTACTTCCTCATATCAACAGTGGTCACTGTAAACTTGACTCCTTTCAGCCAAAGCACCATGAAGAGCCTCTGACAAAAGGGACAGTTCCCAATGTTTTCACCATCATGCCCAGCCTAGAACAAAACACAATAAATTAAGTTAGATATGTTTTTTTAACTTCAAACTCAAGAATAACTTTTTGTTTTATCCTGTCAGCTGTTTCTCTCTAATATTTTCTGCTGATTTAAAGGTTATTCAGGCAGCAAACACAGCATTTGGGACATTTAAAGGCCATTTTCTTCTTGGAAGGGAAATGCAGGCATTGTGTTGCAGCGGAAAAACACATACACAGTCCAAATTCAGCCACTTGTGATCAAAGCCAGTTACAATCTGTGCCAAGATTCAGATAAGATTCAGTTTTATGTTTGTTTATAAACTTTAATACAGAAAGCATGAGTTAAGTGGTGTGTTTTTTTTGGTACAAGTGTGAACCTGATGGTGCTTAAGTTGGTATTTAAACCAAAGCTTATGATTCAGTGTTAAAATTACGAGTTATTTCTGTGTTTTAGGGTGCATTCACACCAGTAGTGTTCTTTAGAGCCCTGTTCCTGCTCCCAAAACAGCAAATGGACTCTAGCACGGGGCATTCTGGGTAATAAATACAACCTAAACAAACACGCAAGTCGAGTCCTAGTGGGAGAAATGACTTGTGGACTCTTACCAAAGACAAAAGTGAAATCCTACAAGCGTTAAAATCTGACGCTACTTCATTTTTGTTAACATTTTGTGAAGAAAAAAAGTTGTGCTCTTGTCTTCTTCTGATGTTTTTGTGTCAATTCCTTCAATAGTTCTTGGTGCAGAGCCACCACAGGCAAGGAGGGGAACAGCTTTTTCTATTAGTTTTGATCTCTTGACAGTGCAATGTGAAAGCAAACCACACCAGCTGAAAATATAACAAATGTTAAAATTTTGGTCTTCAATAGAACCGAGTCTATCGGACTATCAGGTGTGATAGTCCATTAAATCATTAAAATGTTCCAAATTTTGACTCATCCGATGCATTATCCTACACTAACGAGACATTCCCGCTATCATATAAATAGTTTTTAATATTTCTGATAAGTTCAGTAATAAATTTATTTTTTATTAGCAGACGGGGCTTCACCATGTCTGTAAGGTGGCAAGAAAAGGGGACTTGGCCAGACACCATGCATTTAAAAACATCACTGCCCAAGTTTTTGGAAAACAAAAAGGTATTAAAAGTTATTGACTAAAGTAGCTTATTGTTTTTGTAATTTATTTAATCTTGTGTGTGTCAGCTGATTATCTCTAAGTGACAAAACATTACAAAATGTTTCATGGATGTCCCTGCTGGACTGAAGTGGGTGTGCCTGGTGGTTCGGGCCTGAGGCCACGCAGTTTTCTCTCCAAGCTCTTGTCTTCTGGGTGTGCAGTGATAACGTGAGCTCAGTCTGTTGCTTTAATTAACTGATAACAGGCTGCTCTGACCCTCAGCAGAGGGATACAAACATCCTAACATCGACTTCACATGGTATTTGGAAACAGATCCAGTCAGAAGGAGGTTCTGGTTCTGTTTGGGTACATCAAAGTTTTTTGTGCTGTTTCTACCAGCTGAATGAAAAACACACAAGGTTTTAACCAAAAGCTCCACCAGACAAAAAGTTTTGTTAAAGTTTCATAAGTTTGATACTGAAAGTAACTGACCTGGGAAATGTTTATTTTCTGTTTGTTTAAGTTATTTATATTAATTATTTTCATTCAGCTTTAAAATGTCAAAATTTCCACATAACTTTATGTTTTGGTCCATCTGATGATGTAATTTTTTGGTACAAAATGTAATTTGATCAGTTACTCACAACCTGAGTAAACATTTTACCAAATACTTTTTTACTCTTATTTTAGTCATTTCTTGGACGGCTCCTTTTTACTTTTACTTGAATAAAAACATATTGAATTAGTGCTGCTCATACTTGAGTAAAATATTTGGGTACTGTAACAGAAACTTTTATGTTCTGTTAGTAAATCTAGCAATTTGAAAGAAATAGAAAAAAATACTGACCTTAATGAACAACTCAATGCTTGGCTCCTTTTCTGAGCTTTGTCGAAGTGCCATGTTTAAATAAATTAATAAGTTTCACCAAATTATTTGCTCCAGTCAAAGATTCTCCTTCAGTAAAAACGCTCCCAAGAAATCCTCAAAAACAAACTGATAAGAAGCTGGCAAGTGTGTCCTTGGATTGTGTCTATTTTTTTGCAGAAGCGATGTCACCTCTCGCCTGCTTGTGTTTGATTGCTCCTTGTGGGGAATCACACTGAGCTTTCTTCACAAACCAACTGGAGGGAGGACCTGAGAAAAATGGGCGGGGAACTGCTGTGCCTCACTCTCTTATATACTCAAACTATAAGAGGAGAAGCTTAAAATAGTTTCCTTTGCTTATTGTGATACACAGGAACTGATAAGGAGGAGTGACTCAAAACATATAAAAAAACACAATTCGTAATGTCCAGTCAGATATAAACAATCTTGTTGCTATGGAAGAACACAGTGTGAGCCGAGGACTCTGAGAAACATGACTAATAAACATAGATATTCCCCATTTGCTTTGGATACAGGAAAGTACATAAAATCTGCAGTTTCTCCTAGTTATTTCCACACACCACAGTTTAAGACACAACTGGATGAATGTTGAAGCAGCTGCTTATTCTTTTCTTAAGCCAATATTGTGAATATTTTCATAATATTCATTGTGACCATATTTCTGTTTGGAATGTTCATTGTTTTTATTGGGACTCTCAGTTTTGACACTTGGCAGTTCAAATGCACAGCTGTCAAAACAGCAACCGAGGTTTTTGCTTTCACAAAAAAAATCACAAAGCCAGTATAAGCCAAAACAACTTTACATATAAAACAATGGGAGAGTGAGTAGAAAAACTAAACTCTGCACCAGTTTAAATGTTTTAAATTGGTTTTAGAGTGGTACCGAAAGAGAAAAATCACAGTTCTGCTTTGAAATAACAGTTCAGTTTCTGGTACATTTCTAACAAAAATGTTTATATCTTTTTTTTTTTCTTTTTTTTTTTACCAGAGTAAATTTTACTTAGATTTTCTGTTAAAATGTTACCAATTAAAATCAGTTAATAATGTCATTATAGAATAATAAATCCACTTGTTCACTGTTACTGCCTGGGAATTTCTAGATAAGATTTTGTTGATGTTTTTCATCATTAAAAAAGAGTTTGAAACATTTTACAGCTGAAATATGTAACGTTTATATAGCTGTCACTATGTTTTGACAGCTTGGTAGAAGACAGATAATCTGTGAGAAAATATCAAGCTCCCCTGCTTTATCCCAGCGTTCAAAAGGACCAACCAGTCAGAGCCAGGAGGCGGGTCTGCTCATCCCGCTCTTCTTCCTCCGTTGCTCTCTGTTAGCCACAGCTAGCATAGCATGTCATGTATGCTAAGGCTAGTTAGCATGGCCACCGCTGACGGCAGATAAACGGTTTTTCTGTCATGTTAAGTAGTTTCTTCGCCGTTAGCACATTTAGCAGCGAGTAAATCATAGAGTAAATGAGGTTGATTGGTTAAGACCCTCCCACGGGCTCTGATTGGCTGTTTTTGGTCGCGTTTCTTCACATGGCTATATTAGCTCACAGAGGAGTTGGAGGTGATCGATCTTTTCACAGATTGTCTGTCTCACAAAAACGTTGTCACAAAATGGTGACCGTTTTGGCAAGTATGTAAAAACATTTCTTTTAATCAAGGTTGCATACTGCGGCTTTAAGAGTTGTTTTGAATACAGATGTAATAGTATACGAGATGTACTTGAATGCACCATAGGCGATAGTCTGGAAAGCAGTTATTCCTGTTTTTTGGTAGCCAAGAGTAATTTAAATTAAAGCATTTCATGAAGTGTGTTTTAATATTTACACAATTTAATGTGTTTTATTATTTTTTTTTAAGTTTTAGTTTATTTCATGTAACTTGTTGCTGTTTCGTGTGATGAATTTTAGCTCACTGAAATTAACAGAAATTTTCAGAACTTCAAATTATATCTGTACAACCTGGACTGCAATATTTGTTTTATTACATTTTATGCATTCAAACAATATATACCAAATTCAGAGTTTGCAACGATGTTACTTTTAGAATTGAAGAGGTAATTTGTTGTTTTCAAATGCTTCTGTATCACT